AAGGAAAATGAGCAGTTCCACTTACAAAAGTATCAGCATAGGCATGAATTCAACCCAAAGAAAAAAAAAAAAAAAAAAAAAAAAAGCACACCCACACCACTGGTCAATCAGACAATATTTCCAAACAACAACTGAATTGAACTTAAGAAAAAAAAATAACAAGAGCCTCATTTAAATGATCAGGATATGATACATTTATGTATATCTTTCCCAAGATGAATGCAATTATGTACTGCAAACATACTGATACAAAGAAACTTAGATGGCTTAAAAAAAAAAAAAGGAGATTTCACTTAAAAGGCCTGATTCTAAGGCTAACCCTAAACAACAATCTATGCAGTGGTGGGAGTTTCTTGTCAGGGACCAGCCATCCTTCCACTCTATCACGATCTATTCTAAGATTCTAGCAGGCTGGGTAAGGTCTCCTCCTTTCCTTGCTTATATGAAGTATTCAGGACAGGGTGTAGCTTTGATGCCTTCCTGTGGGCCAATTCCCCTCCCACCACCCACCAAGAGCTCCTTACTATGGATGATACTGGGTTACTCAGGGATGGGATGGTGTTTGAGGAGACAGAGGGCTTGAGGGACAGGTTAAGGAGTCGGCCTTGCACGTATGTGGAGAAGACAGAGGCGGTCCCTTGGTTTATATTAACGGCCACAGGTCCATTTCCTCGTCCAGGGTGGCTTCTATTGCTTGGAACTATTTCTTCCTTCAGGTTCCTCTCCTACTGCAAAATCATTTGTGGTAACAGTTCAACTTGCTAAGTTTCCACCTGGGTATTTACAAAGTACCCTCCTGAGAGATGACACTTGAGCCAATATGTAAGATCACTTCTTACAGACTGGTCCTCTTTCCTCTGATAAAGGGTGGAAAGGCTCATAGTAATTAGCATATGTTTATGAGAACAGGCACCAGAATGCACTCTATGTCCAATCCTCTTTTTCTTAACCAAGGCTTTGCACCTAAGACTGCTTTTACCACTTTCCCTTTAAGAACTCTTTGAAAGGAGGGGTCTTTCAAAGACTGAGGGACTAATGTGACATCTAAGGCCCGGGCCATCTGTGGCTGCTCTACCATGGCCCCAAGGAGCTCTGTTAATTGTCACCAAGCCATTGTGCAGGCTGGAGAAAGAGTAAAAGTAAAGCTCAAGTGTTTCCCACTGCAAGAAGGCCCCCACGTAAATCTATGCTGTCAATCTAAACAGAAATCTTGGCCAATCACTCACGTTTATTTAGTAGTAGCAGAAGAAACAATTTAGTAAGTAAGAACATTTTTTCCTTTGTTATGGCATGCTGACCATGTATTTCACTGAGTAAAGTTTCTATCTAAACTTGTTGAATGAGGTGAATGATTTAATAAAAAATTAACTGAGTAAAGCAACATTTTTCTTTAAAACTAGCAAATAATTTGTACACACTGTCTGCTTTACTATGCCACTGTGTTTTATTTGTGGCATTCATTTTGGTGCTACTTGTTCTACTTTCATGCACCGGCCAAATAAGAAACCATCATATTATCTTAGAAAGGTAATAAAACTGCTCATATTGCAGGGGGAGACAGGGGTCAAATGAATTATCACTTCTGATAGGTATTATTTAAAGTACCTCCCTCCATGCAAGGAAGTTAATAAACTAATATAAATAAGTGCTATAAAAGTGTTTGCACAGAGACATTTCAGTGGAGGGACTTATGGAAGGATATGCAACCTT